CCCCCCCTCCCCGGGGCAGTGCTACTGACAGAAGTTGTCTTTAGGCCATTCACAAAGGGGGGATATTAGCTTATTCTTGTGCACAGTAGAATTGTAAATGGGCTGACATATCTATGTCATGCTCATGCTGTGCGGAACAACATAGGGGGAACTGCTACTTTTTTCCCCCTATCGTCATTTTCCCTCTACTTCTTTTGTATGTTTGTCATTCTCCTGTGAATTGCTATTTCCGGAGTGCAATGGTAGTCGCAGCTAACTTTGTAATGTTGAAGCTAGAGAGGTCAGCAGTGGAAGCCTGATTACCCGTTTGGACTTCTCTGTTGACATCCACCCCTTGGCGTTCATATGTCCTTATGCAGTAGCGAAAGCCGTTAAACCTTACCAAAACAAAAAAATAACATTCCAGTGTTTCGCGGGAGCAACGCCAGGCTGACTATGGCAGTGGGCTGTCTTATTGTGGACCTGTCGGTGCTGCTGGGTTATTGGGGACTGCCGTACTGGCCAGTCATGGTGCTGCTTTTGGGGCCCGGTGTTGGCCTGGGATGTGGTAAGATAGATAGATAGATAGATAGATAGATAGATAGATAGATAGATAGATAGATAGATAGATAGATAGATATATAGATAGATAGATACGTAGATAAGTAAGTAGATAGTAGATAGACAGAATGACAGACAGGCAGACAGACAGACAGATAGATAGATAGATAGATAGATAGATAGGTAGATAGATAGATAGATAGATATATAGATAGATAGATAGATAGATAGATTGATAGATACGAGTAGATAGATAGATAGATAGATAGATAGATAAGTAGATAAGTAAGTAGATAAGTAGATAGACAAAATGACAGACAGGCAGACAGACAGATAGATAGATAAATAAATAGATAGATAGATAGATAGATAGATAGATAGATAGATAGATAGATAGATAGAAAGATAGATAGATAGATAAGTAGATAAGTAAGTAGATAGGTAGATAAACAGATCGACAGACAGACAGACAGAGAGACAGATAGATAGATAGATAGATAGATAGATAGATAGATAGATAGATAGATAGATAGATAGATAGATAGGTAGATAGACAGATAGATAGATAGATAGATTGCACTGCAGTACAAGCTGTTCCCATTAGCTATAACTACAACCCAACTGTGAGCCCCTTGAGTGTCCTGGATGCTGCGCACCAAGTTAAACAGGTCGTAAAGTGGGGCTCAACCTTACTTTCTCCTTCGTCCCCAGGTATAATGGTGAGCATGAGTTTGACCTACTGCGTGGCCTGGGCCAGTGCTGATGACGTAGGACTGGTCTCTACCGTAGGGACCACTGTGGGCATTGGTTCTGTGGCCATAAACGCCATCATCACTCGTTTCGTCAACCCAGACAATCTACTGCCTTCTTCCAAAGGTCACAAAGACGACAAATACTTCGGAGAGTCCGAGCTACTGGACAGGTCACTAATACATTGCATGACGTAGTCGAGTCTAAGAAAATAGGAAGTTGAGATTGTTTCAGAATGCTATCAAGTCTGCTGGGGTAACAGTATAATAAATTGTAAAGCGCGCAAAGCTTGATGTTGAGCGGGAATTTGCGCTATACAAATGCTAAAATCTGTCTCTTGTTATTAATATACAAATGTTACCTATCCATTGTAATTGTTATTATTATTATTATTATTA